TCGTTTTGGGTTTTCTGTTGCGTGGTGTTGCCGTTTTTAGGGGTGGGCGCCTTCTTTTTGGTTTTTTTTCCCCCTTTTTTGTATTTTTTCCCCCTTTTTTTTCCCCTTTTTTGTTTTTTTTACCACAGGGGGGAGCCGGGGGGGGGGCCCCCCCCCCCCCCCCCCCCCCCGCTTCTTTTTAGACCAAACTGAGGCCCAAAGGCCGAAAAAGAATTTTTTTGGAGACCGCCCCCCCCTTATCTAAGGGTCTGGATGACCCCCCACAACCTTATCTCCCTTGAGACTCAACACATGTCATCACTACGGTTTTAAGATGTCGAGGTCCATAATTGCAGATAATGTTTCTTTCATGTAAATATCCAGCTAATTTACCATTTTTGACAAACAAAGGGAAAATGTGTCTGATTCGGACTCAATCAAGGAGGCAGTACGCTTTTAACAGGGAGCTTTAAGTTACCAACGACGACAGCGGTGGCAAAGAGAACGTCAAAAAAGCGAGAGGTTTAATAATAAGCAAAACAACAATTGTGCATGCCAGCACACCGTTTTGTACAATTCTTTGTCGGTTCCTGTACGACTACAGCTTGAAAGGCCTTCTGGGACGTTTGATGGAGGACGTATAAACTCGATATAAACACACGACGACCGGAACTTTCTTCTTCTAAACTTGGGTGCTGTCCAATAGAATTCAACTCCACGGAAATTATATTCAACTACATTTGGCATTTTCAATGAGTTGCAATATACGCAAAGAACCTTAAAAAGAAGCGAATTCCTTTTAAAAGGGTCGTTTTCACTGCTGTCGCAGCAGTCGATGCTAAACGCTCCTCTGGTCACTTCATCTCTCTCTTATTCACGGCAACAGTCACGTGCGACAACGCACATGTTTCCTAGAAAGTCCGGACCTCATGCCCGCGACGACAAAGAATCGAATTTGTTGGGCACAGGCAAGAGAGAACGGATGATGAGCTGCTCAAGAGATAATGTTCTCTTGGCACAGGTCAAGTTTGGTAGGACAATGTCCGATGACCCGTTGTTATTCGCAGCCCAAGAGATCACATCAAATTGTTATTTTAAAAACTCGATTAGTCACCTCGCACATGCACTATCGAACCTCAAAGAAGGTGCCAATTTTTCGCATTTCTAACATTTGGTTTTTTCTTCAGTTTACTCACTTGTTTTAGTGCCTATGTGAGCAGGCTCCTGCACTGGCTCAGAACTAAAGATAACCCTGTTTGTAAAAAGTAGGAAAACGGGTTAGATTTTCATAGCACTGAACTGTGGTGTTACGTCGCTGGGCGTGTCTTTTTTATCTGCGGTGTTGATCCAAAGTCTAAATTTTTCGGTAATATCCTCAGTTCTTGTGCGTTGTTTGAGTTGCTCGTTGCTTTCGAGGTTCTGTTCCTTACATTTACTGTAACATTGGCCGGGCTGAAGAAAATCGTCCTTACCTTCAAGGTTTAATAACAATTTCTCTGAAAGCAATCACTTCCACCGTCTACCGTATTGTCGAACATGCACAATTACTAAGAAGTTCTCGCCCTTTTTTCAAGGACCTAAGTTTTTAAGTCACTTGACAACGAGGTCATCCGCTCTCAATCCCTTTCCTCTTTTAAGAAAATACTGGATTAAGTTATTGAGTAAATATGAAAACAGTTCATAAACCTTTCCATCTTCGACATCTTTTCTTGAATATTGATGTTAAACAGCTCTAGCTCGTAGTTCTAGGAGGCCTAACCGATTATAAGCTCCTATAGTTTCTGTTAGGTCTCCTCGCGGACGCCACTTCTTTTTTTATACGTTAATTTTCCTATATTTTTTGTAATCATTGTGTGGCAAATAAAATAATATAAATAATAATAAATACTTCATTATATAGAGGTTCGTTAAATCGAGATCCCACTGTATCTCTTAGCCTGTGAACAGGCCTTTGGTCGAGCGGGGAACGTACTGGGGAGAGGAAAAAGCGAAAAGCTCTCTCTTGCGCTAGTACAACGCTGTCTTGATCACTGTCAACCAGCAAGGTCTTATTTCTTGAAACACCAAAGACCGGCACTGCATTAATTCTCTTACCAGAGATCAACGACTTTTTGTAAAATCGACGATCGCGCTCCATTATTTCACTCTGCCGTTTCAGATGGAGCACAACACCGCTCATTTCCCGTCAATTTTCCCACGCACGAAATTGATTGACAGATAACGATCTTACTGACAGATGATCGGCAGGATAATTACAAGAGGGCCAGAATGGCGGCCTTAACAGTTTGTCTGCAGGCTTCTTACCCCCTCTTTCCCTTCCCTTTCCTCGCTATTTTTCCCCAAACAGAGAGCCTGTTCAAAGGCTATGTATCTCTTAACTTAGTTTCCACTCTTAATGAACATTTAGTTCCAATTATGAAAATCTTGTGGAAAATAGCATGTTTTGGATCAGGATCTGGACCCGGGGGGTACCCCTCCCATAAAAGTTACAGGGGTGCTCGTCGGAAAATTCGAGAACACCAAACTAAAAGGTACCAGAATCTTGTTTTATGGGCGTGTCCCAAATTCATTGCCATCCTCAAGAGATACCACTTCAACAATAACAAATTTATAACTGGCGCTGCAAATTTTAATCACGGTAGAAAAGATAACTTTTGATTAATTTCTTCTCAAGGACTTTTAGAAATTATTGTCATAAATCTTTATCCTAATAAAGCGTATCATCTCTGGCAGCAGTCATTTTAGGTTTTAGCACCCTAAGCGGTACCAATCCACAAATTTTTAAACCCTAAAAGGTGCGACGAGCACCCCGTCACTTTTATGGGGGAGTACCCCCCTCCTCCGGGACCTGGACAACCGTAGCCTGAGTATCAGGCCTTCCTAAGGGACTAGGGGAGAGGAGATTTGAGGTGGGGGAGGGGGGAGGGGGAGAAGAGAAAGGAAGGCCTGACACAAAACCATTCAGCAAATTGTGTGACACATCCAAAATCTGGATGTGGCAGTGATTGGATAACACACAGTACCCCTTGACGTCACCGACCGCAAGAGCGATCGGCAAGGAGAAGCAACTGAAATTTTTCATACATGCATGTTTTGATTTCATGTTACCGGTACATGATACTTTTATGGACAGAGACGCAGAGAGGAATTCAAAAAGGCTCTAGACGGCGCGCTCCCAAGTTCTTTCCTGGAATAAAAATAAAACCCGAGCAAGAATTGTGTTTTCAAGGCCTCGTAGTTCAGTAGTTTAAAGGAAAGATGTACTCGGAGTATGGAAAAGCCTCATATACCAGCTTCTGCCGAAACTATATCCGAGTATTGGTTTCACAAGACTGGGACAAAGAAGACGATATCAGTGTTTCAGATATCTAAGTTCTGATTTACAACATCCTGCTGTTAAAAGGGTATTGTTACTGTAAATGAAAATAGAGCGAGGTAACCATGTATTGAGATAGCCGACAGCACCAATGCCTTTAAGGGAAAGTTC